GGTTGTTCAACATGAGCATGTATGTTAGAGAGAAGCTCATTTGCATATCAAAAACCTTAATTTACTCTTCGATCTTTTTGACTTTCATGAGCAATTGAAAATTCAATCATTCTGTCTCATCTCTAACACATATACATATGCCCAGAGAAACCCACGCCAACAAACATTCTGACTCAGCCTCCAAGATTGCTGCCACGGCTGGCAAGTAAACTTTTTCCTTCCGCAGTGGTCAGTTCCTTTGAAGTTGTCGTGCATGTGCACATTTAAGGCACTCTAAGAGCTGCTTAACACATCAGATTGTGGCATAATGAGCTCGAAAATGATTTCAAGCAAAACCGTCGCAGCCGAATTTGGCTCACTTCACAGAAGCACCACTCTGTCCAAGTGCCAGCAGTGTGGGCAGACGCAGCACACGCACACGTGTTTAGTCTCCTCTTCAACAGGCCTCAGCTGTTACTGTCTGTCTAATGGGTCTCTCATCTCCTCACTGGACAAATAGCAGCCATTATCACAGCCAGGTACCAACACAATGCTTCAGTGCAGAGCCTGCATACACTGAATCTATTATGAACTCAGATGTGAATTGGAGTCCACTTACACATTTCAGACCAGCTTAACAAGAGACAAAATGGCTTAGAGATCAAGAAAAAGACATGTAGCCTCTTTTCCCGTGGATTCTCTTTCTCATACGCACGCATCAATCTCTGCTGCAAGGCACTTCATTATAGCTTGTATTGGGGATTTTTCATCCTGAAATGGCACCTGGCTTTCAAAGAATTAACCTGCTACACCTTAGGCTAGTTGCTAGGCAACGTGGAGGCGCTGTGCTCATCCTGGTGAGCAAGCGTTAGAGCGGGCAGGCTTGTGGGAGAGCAGTGCTGATTGTCAGTGTTGGGCACTGGATATCCCCAGAGAAGAAGAAAAGGCTGGTCACTGGCTGCAGGCTGCCCTGTAAGCTGCCCTGTAAGCTGCCCTGTGAGCTGGACAAGAAAGGCCGAGACCCTGTGGTCGTTAGCTTTTGTGTGTGAGGGGACTCATTACTTTGCTTCAGGAGGTGCAGTTAATGATGCAGATCAGCTGACTGTATTCTGTTGAGACTTGTTACAGTTGGTGTGAAGCTGACACTGGTGCTTATCAGCTCTGTGTTTGGTGTGAATGTGTGTGTGTGTGTGTGTGTGTGTCCAAAATATGAATGGTTTTTACTGATAGGTTTGGCCTGATCAGAGTCGAGATTTAAACCATATAGAGAATGTTTTAGAATATATTGGTCTTACACTAAACACAAACCAGCCTGGCAATGTTTTTCAGCTGTTTGAAGCCATCAGTGCTCAGTGAAACAATACTGAGACTTCTTTCTGTAAAAGACGGTCTTCAAGTTTACTCACAAGACTTCCACATTTAAGGAAATCAAAAGGAAAAGCTATCTTATATTAAGTTACTTTATCCGTTTGTTAAATTCTCGTTAATTTACTGAATAATTTACTGATTTTTTGTTAAGACCATTTAAAGCTTAATGTTTTGCCATTTTGGCTATGGCCCTTTTTTGCATGGGAGTGTTTGTCTTACTCTTTTTTGTAAGGACCAAATGTCCTTACAATGATACAATAATAAGACAACATTTTGTACAAGTGAGGACCTTTTTGCTGGTCCTCACTTGAGCACATGCTGTTTTCTCCACAAATTCAACAGTTTTTTGAAAAAATGAAAAAGAGCGAAAAGATTGTGTCTCATTTATGAATATTTTACAATGTTTTTTCATAAGTTTGTTCTTGAGACAGGTCCTAAGAAAAAGACTGTCAGATTTGTGATGTGTTCTTAAACCACAGAACTGTTCACACCTTTGTGCTCTTCAGTTTGTGTAGATTACCCAAGAGCAAATCCCAAACCAGAAAAGACAGAATCTTAATAAAAACTGCATAAGTTGGTTTAAAGAAGAAATTTCTTCTTAAGAATGATTGGTGAATGAGGTCCATTGCCTTTTAGATACTGATGTTTAGGTTAGGCGTAAATTTACTTGGCTATAGCAATGCAGAATTAAATAGAAATCAATGGAAGTCCTCACAAGTAACGTAAGACAAAAAAAAGGGTCTGTATTTCTAAACGGATCCTCTTCTGTTATCTGATTGGCATTTTGGGATATTTTGTTTACACTGATGTGTGTTTTTATGTATTAATGCCACAAGCACAATTTGTGCGTTTTATTTTGCAATATGTTGCTGCTTTTTGTGTCATGCATAACAACATCCCTTAACCATGGGAAATCACTGTAACACATCATGTCTATCATGGCTTAGTGCTTTATTGCATATTGGTACATTGATACATCTATTTAATATATGCCATACATTGTTAATAAACCGTTTATATTGTAGTGTCTAGTTTGTAGTATTTCAGTGTACATTGTTGAAGTTATTATTCAATACCAATTATTAATATGACAGATGATTCCAAACTTTGTGATAGTTTGTATATGGCTGCACAAGCTGTGTGTCCTGACACCTGTATAAAAATTTGTATAATAAGTGTGTGTGTGTGTGTGTGTGTGTGTGTGTGTGTGTGTGTGTGTGCGCACTCTTTAGCTCTGGGTTCTCATATTGTGAGCTTCACTGACAGATAGGCAGTGCTGCTGTTTATTTTGGGGGAAAGAGATGGAGGGTGGTGCTCCAACTCAAACACACGCTAATGCACCACTGTCTATTGGAGCATGTGGTGACCGCTGCTGTGGCCAGCCGCAGCCAGTCTCTAATCAACACACAGGAGCAGAGTGGCAGGGACAGAGCAGTCCACAGAGACGTGCCATACAGGCCCAGCCTGCTGACATTTCATACTACAAGCAGGAGAGCCTGTAATACTGCTAATGAGAAACTTTCCCTTATTACGCAGTCCTCTGTATTTTTCCTGTCTTTTCAGTCACTTTTATAATCCCATGTTCTACTGTATAACCCAGCAGAGAGACTTGCTTTGAAACAGCATCATATGTAAGTTGTTAAAGTCCACTTGGATTGGTGAGGGTCTCTGAGCTAGCTGAGCCTTTTCACATGCTGATAGGTGGGTGTGGTGGAATGGGCAGGTGAAACATATCACTGGTTAGTATTGTATCATTTTTCCCTGACCATTGGTTTATGCTGATGTAATGAACAGTCAGAAGTAGTTTTAGACACAGGCACAAAATTTGTTTTTGATTTCAAGTTGACTTTAACGGAGTGTGAAGCTGGTAAAGACATGGATCACTTTTCTAATATATGGTTTTCTCTGCAAGAGAACATAGAGGAAGCATTACAGTGCCCTCCAAAATTATTGGCACCCCAATAAAGACGAGTAAATAAGACGATGATGTCTCTTATCAGCTTGAACTGAAGAGAACTCGAACCCCTGAGTAAATTAAACACGAAGAAAAAAACAAAAACATGCTCCAAAACGTCATCTCCAGAAATCAGTGTGAATCAGAAATCATAACATATTCTCTTTCCATACTGTCACGTATTTCCAAGTGAAAAGTGGTGAAACTGGGTCTTTGAGCTAGCTGAACTTTTCTCTTGATGATAGGTGGGAGGTGAAACAGACTATTGGTTTCCCCGCACACTAGTGTGTGGTGACATAATCAAACATCAGAAGATGTCAGAGCCGGATATAAGTCACTACACTTTAATCAAAGATAAAAAAGACAACAATACTGCCGAATTGTATGGTTTGGTGATTGATGCTTAATATGAACAGGGACTAACAATGTAAAAAAAGTCCATATTGATTTCAGGTTGACTTCAGCTAAATCTTAAATGGGCATTCAGAGCTTCCTGTTTCACTGCGGGAGGAATATGAAATGATACACAAGTTGAACAACCTTAGTCATTAATCAAACTGGACAAGATCAGAGAGAAGATGAAGTAATGTAGTGGTTATAATACACTGCTTCACCCCTGAACACACCTGAACATCTCCACTATGAAGGAAATCATGGGTCCCACTTTATTTGGATTAATCCCTGTAGATTATCTACAGATGTTCAGATTATCTACAGATTTGGATAAGGGTTTGGGTTAGGACCACGGTTAAGGTTATGACTAGGTTTTGGATTTAGGTGAAGATTAAGATTGGGGTTAGGATTAAGTTTTGGAATCAGATTAAGATTGGGATTGGGTTAGGGCTAGGGTTAAGTTTTGGATTGAGATTAAGATAAGGATTAGAGCCAGGGTTAGAATTAGGTTTTGGGTTGAGATTAAGATAAGCATTAGGGCCAGGATTAGGGTTAGGTTTTGGTTTGAGATTAAGATTAGACGTAGGGGCAGGTTTAGGGTTAGGGAAAATTCAGGTGAATTTCATTATAATTAGTTGAACGTGTGTTAAATGCAAAGTACGCATCTACAAAGTATCTACAATGGGCTATCCAAATAAAATGTTACCAAATAATGAAAAACATTCACCTAACTGGAGCTGTGATGAACCTGAGTGGAAGAGGACACAAGTGTGCCTTGCCCCTCGCACAGAGAAGGATGGGTGAGAAGGCAAAACTTTCTCCAAGGACATTTGGACAGTTGGACAGTTGGACAATTGTAGGACTGTGACATATTTTAGTGTTAAATGAAGTTCAGTTTGCTGCAGAAAAGGAACACTGGCAACAATGTCAACAATGTAATCAACTTACACAGCATATACATTGACAATAGAGTGGGCCATACTGGAGCAGCTGCACATGAGCCTAAGATCACCATGACCAATGCCAGTCATTGGTTAGAGGGGTATAAAGCGCCCCAGCACTGGGCTGTGGAAGAGTGGAACTGTGTTCCAGAATGGATCATCCAACATCAGGACCTGACTTCACTAATGCTCTTGTGGCTGAAAGCAATCAAACCGTTGTAGCAATGTTCCAACATAAAGTGTAAAGTCTTTCTTGTGAGGTAGAAAAACATGAAGAGGTGTTTTGGCTGTATTTAAAAGTCATATTGCTGTATTTGTGGATACTATACTGTGTCCTTACTCTCTCTCACTCTTTACCTCGTCAGGTGTAAAGGTCCTGCTCAGAGAGAGACGGACACCATGGACACCTTTGTGGATTCTGCCTGGTATTATTTCAGATACACAGACCCACACAATCAGCTGAGGTAAGCGCAAAAGTCCATGACTTCTCCTCAAATCCCCCTTTATTCTCACGCTTTCAGACCCGCATGACTGAGTGAAGTGCGTGTGGATTTGTTGGGATTGTGTCTGATAGCTGTGGTGTTTTGTGTTGTTATGAAAGAGGAAGATAGGAGAGTGGAACGCTCAGGACACGCTGAGAGCCCATCTGTCTGCAGATGTTTGGATAAAGCACAGATATTAAAATCATTTAAATATCATCGTCCAGGTTCAGGAAATTAGAGGAATAAAACAATCACTACGCACACTCCCTCTCTCTTTATCTCAGTCTCTCTCACTCTCTCTCTCTCTCTCTCTCTCTCTCTCTTTCTCTCTCTCTCTCTCTCTCTCTCTCTCTCTCTCTCTTTCTCTTTCTCTCTCTCTCTCTCTCTCTCTCTCTCTCTTTCTCTCTCTCTTTATCCATTTCTCTCTTTTTTCCTTTTCTGTCTTCATTCTCTCTTTTCTCTTTCCTCTCTTTCTTTCTGTTTCTTCCTTCTTTCTCTCTCTTTTCCATTCTCAGTCTTTCTTTCTTTCTTTTTGTCTTCCCTCTTTGTCATCTTCTCTCTACATCTCTCACCTTCTCTTTCTTTGTATCCCTCTCTTTCTTTCTTAGCTTCACATTCTCTCTTTTCTCTTTCTCTCATTCTCTCTTGCTCTCTCTGTCTCTCTATTGCTTTCTTTATCCTCTTTGTCTCTTGCTTTCTTACTCTCTCTCTCTCTGTCTCTCTCTCGCTCTCTCCTCTTTCTCTTGCTCTCTCTCTCTCTTACTCTCTTATCTTTCTCTTGCTCTATCTGTCTCTCTCTATTGCTTTCTCTTTCTCTCTCCTTTTTGTCTCTCATTCTCTCTAGCTCTCTCTCTCTTTCTCCTCTTTCTCTTTCTCTTGCTCTCTCTCTGTCTCTCTCGCTCTCTCTCTGTCTCTCTCTCTCTCTGTCTCTCTCTCTCTTCTCTCTCTCTCTCTCTCTCTCTCTCTCTCTCTCTCTCTCTGGCTGTGGAGATTATAGTCTGTTGGTCATCGCCTGCTGTGTCGTTGGTGATACAGAAAGCTTGACAAAAGAGATTAATTTGCGAGCAGCGGGGCTTCTCCTCGTGCGCTGACCTTGCTGAGCAGCCGCGCCGGTGCTTTCGTCCCCGAGCCGGGAAGATTATCCCGCTACAGGAAAAGCAATTATGCTGTTTACAGCTCCACGCTGTTATGGAGCCCGAGGCTAACAGTTAGCACAAAACTAAACTGCAGTCTGTGACCTGCTGTGACCAAGACATGTTAACCCAGCTGTGACAATCCATCAACAGCAGAACAGCTACAAAATCAGTAATTAACATAAGCAGATCAGCGTGATGTCACTGTTCCAGAACCGGTTTGAGATTAGAGTCTTTGGTACCAATATTTGTGGTTGTTCATTGGTTAAATCCAAGGCAGAGACTACATGAGATGTGTTTAATCCAAACTTTGGACCTCTTTAATTTAATCTGATTATGAATATCCGAATACTCCTATTTTAAAAATATTTTTAGGTTTACTTAAAATTTACACTTTTGATGAATTAGCAGTGATTAATTTACATAATTATACATATTTAATATTTCCTATTGGTCTCTGTTTTACAGTAAGGAAACAGTTTAGTATTTGGATTTTTTTTTCAAAGGGTGTGCCCAGCTTGTTAAGTCTATTTTTATTGCTTGGCCTTTTAAAAAATCATGATTACTCAATTAATCATCAAAATAATCATTAGATTACTTTGGCTTCTAATAAAATCAATAGTGAAAGCCCTAAAGTCCATCTGTAAAGACGTCAGTGTGGTATTGCTGTATGAACTGCTATCAGCATGAGATATATATATATATATATATATATATATATATATATTTCTATTATATTATATTATATTATCAGGTCATCTAATCAAAAGATGAGATCTCTGAAAACACTACACTTTGCACTCAAAACTCATCCACTACCCCTGTATTTACCCTCTGTCTGAGTTCTGTGACTGTGGATGGCTGTACCAGGAGGCCCCCTAGTGGAATTAACCGTATCCACCCTGTACAATTAGTAGTCAGACATCCTGACCCTGTTCCGCCCCCTACAGGCCTTTTGAGCGCTCGCTAGCTGACCACTGGATGCCGGTGGACGTTTATATAGGAGGGAAAGAACATGCAGTCATGCACCTGTACTACGCTCGATTCCTCAGCCACTTCTGCAAAGGCCAGGGCTTTGTCTCACACAGGTACAGCACACACAGATATGCACTTGTTTTTTGTACAATCTGTGAATGAATATATATGTCCCAATGAAATAAGGCATGTAAGCACATTATTAAAAGCCATTTAGCTTAGCTGTATGTTTATGATGGTAAAATTATCATTATAATAAATGCAAATAAATAGGAATACAGCAAAGGCTTACTTGAATTTAGTTGTTGATGTGTTGTGAGCTAGTTTGAAAAACTAGTTTGATTCCAGTCCAGATTTCTCTGGACACCCCTAGTCATCACCGAGATTTGTTAAATTTCATCAGCAGCGCACTTGATTTAACAAAATAAAGTATTGATTGAGTCAAACCAGGTATTTAGTGATTAGAACTACACATAATACTTGGCTTCGTCAAGGATGATATCAACACATTTATATACATTTAACTAGTTATTGTATTAATGTAGTTATTGTATTAATACTACAGATATTTATTTTAGTATTACTGTTTTTCTGTAAATACATTAAATGTTTATATTATTTATTATTATATTAAATGTGCCTGAAACTTTTGCGCAATAGTGTATACATATATTACATGCATAGCTAAATCTAGTAACATGTCCCATATAATAACATGTTACATATAGAGATGGTAAGACACCCCTTTTTTTGTATCGATGCCAATGATGAAATCCTGAGAATCGTCTGAAGTATGTATGTTTTATGTATGTGTGTATGTGTGTGTGTGTGTGTGTGTGTGTGTGTGTGTGTGTGTGTGTGTGTGTGTGTGTGTGTGTGTGTGTCAATGTTGTCGGGAGAAAACCTTGTATCTCCAAAATGGTAACTTTACAGGAGAAGGAAAAAACATACTTCATTAGTTAATTAATGTTGTCAATACAATATAACTTTATGCAGCAGATTCATTTATAAAAAGAGTCTAATGTGATGCTGCTACTCCACAACTTTAGAGGACTAAATCTATAATGATTAGTAATGCTGTACACAAATAATTTCCTGATGTCTATTCTGGTATTATTTTAAAATGTTTTGTTGATTTTTTTATGTGAATAAAAGTTAACACATCCTCTACAGAGAACAATCTTTTGTACATTTTGATGCACAATTACAGTTTATTTGCTAAATTGAACAAAGAAAATGAAATTTGGACTGGGCGAGAGTTATGGAGCCTTTCATAGTGCATGTTTTATTTTTTACAAAATGTAAGCTTAGCATATAAATAGAAATTGTGCACAAATTTTGGTTTTCTGTATATTTTTCAGTTGGTACTGAATGGGATTTGTTTGGGTTTTGTATGAGTGACATAGAAATGAGATTACTTATTAAATCCTGAAAAAAGTAAAGTAATCCTATTCCAATTTGAGAGCAGTAATTTGTAATGGATTTCTTTTTTGAGTAATGTTTTTTTAAGTGCAAGTGGATTGGTAACTGTCGCTGATGTGTCACCTGGTGGAAAACGTATTTTAATCCATAAAACCGAGACTTCTTGAATGCAGCCTAACTACTCCATCACTGTTAATAATATCTCCATGAGTGTCTCAGTGGGTGTTTATTTACTCTCTTTCTTTTCTCCCAAAGGGAACCCTTCAAGAAGCTGCTTGTGCAGGGCCTTATTAAGGGCCAGACGTTCAGAGTGGCCGAGAGTGGCCAATATCTAAAGAAAGAGGATATCGATTTCACAGGTGCGTGTCTGTTTGAGATGTTTCCCTTTACTGCTCAGCGATCATTAGATCTCATACAGTTCCGCTGCCGTCAGCTGAGCCGGTTATGCCTCGCTTGTTGCTGAGGTCCGAAATAGACTGTGGCTCACACTGCAACTCGCAGCAGTCAGCTTAGTCATAGAAACCACTCGAGACAAATGCTTTACAAATCTCTGTCTTCCCACCTCTCTCTCTCTCTCTCTCTCTCTCTCTCTCTCTCTCTCTCTCGCTCTCTCTCTCTCTCCCCCTCTTTTCTCTCTTTCTCTGTCTCTCTCTCTCTCTCCCTCTCTTCCCCCTCTTTTCTCTCTTCTCTTTTTCTCCCTTTCTCTCTCTGGCGAGCAGTGGACGTTACATGACTGAATTGTTGCCAAGCAACCGGGTAAACAGGGGTTTCTGGCTGGACTTTGTGTATTATAGGTATCAAAGCGAATCTATTTTTTAATGCCTTCAGTGTCAGTGAGCACAGAGATGATGACTAATTTGTGTATCTTTGTGCGTTTGTGACCGAGGCAGTAGTTTCCACAGTTATTGGGTTCCTGGACTGCGCCCACGGTTTTCAGAGAAGGGATTAGAAATGGCAGTGAATACCAGCCTTCTCTTCTGCACATCCTGAGCCCCTCTCTCCCCCCTCAGCTGTGTTCAGGCCAATTTGGACTGCTTTATGTGCACTGCTCATCAAAAGTTTGCCTTACTTTGAAAATTTCAGTTTGTTTTTTACTGTTATTTTTCAATTAAGGGACAAATTTACCTCCAGTGTGTTAAGGTAAAATAGCTGTGCACTAATACTTTGGGAATATTTTGCAACACTGAGCTTCGAGTTCATTTGTCTTCCTTGCTAGTGCTGGGCAAGAAATTATGTTTACTGGTATATACTGTAAAAGCGGAACAGGGTAGAAGGTGATTTGAATCGGTTTTAAGATTTAAGTTGATGTAATGTATTAGTTCTGTTCATCAAGCTAAAACTTTGCTTTGTAGTCCTTCATTCAAAGTATTTATTTGAATTGAATAAAACCAGTCAAATTGTTTGTTAGTACATGAAGTCATTTTTTTAGGCTGAACTGACAAAATATTTTACAGTGTACCAAGATTTTGACATATGGTGATATTGCTTTTCAGTTTTGGTGACATTTTTGTGATATATTTGATACATAATGAGTATTGTGTCCATGATATGATGCACATACAATATGTGCTTTGTCACAGTTTGGTAGCATCATGTGACAGGGCGAGACCTAGCAAATGAGTGGAAATGCAAAGTGGAAAGATGGTACAGAAATAAGCTCCAGTACTGTGTTTGCTAAGATCTAAAAGTCTATTAAGGTTTGCAGACCAACAGATTATGCACATTCACTAAATCTGGAAAGCTAAGTGTCCCCAAATATTTGATGATTTTCAGTGTCATTTCAAAAGGTGGTCTTCTGTTCTGTATATTTCATCTTCCATGCAGGTGCAGAGCCTGTGCAGAAGGGCACTGGAAAGCAGCTGCAGGTCACCTGGGAGAAGATGAGTAAATCTAAACACAACGGGCTGGACCCTCAGGAGGTGGTGCAGCAGTACGGCATCGACACTGTGCGCCTCTATATCCTCTATGCGGCTCCACCCGAGCAAGATATCCTGTGGGATGTAAAGAGTAAGTCACCTGTAGCTCCTAATGACCTGCTGAAAAGGGGCAGGTGGAGGCAGTGGGGGGCTGAACAGTGGGAGTCCAGCTTCAGCAAGAAAGAGCAACTCCCTCTGGAATAGTTACAAACCAAGTCTCCTTACATTTAAAGGGTCCAATAATGGAAAACTGAACTCTCTTCACTTTTTTCAAAATAGTATGTTTGATGTAATAAGTAAACATTGTTAAAGTTTCAAAATGTACTGTTCACTCGACAGTCCATACAGTCTATATATGAAAAATAATGCACTGTTTTTCTCATGTCATGAAAACTGTTGTATTTCCACATGTCCACCAATTCAGCCTACAGCAGATTAGCTGTGCACATTCTCACTGAAGTTATCTCAAGTGTTTTGGCCCAGACTATTTTTTGAACAAGACAGCCCATGAGAACATTTACATACATCAGTCTTAGAGGCACCAAACAAAAACAGCCTATTGAATTTCAAGGGATAAAGAGAGGTTGAAAATGGTGATGTGAAAATGAATTACGACTGACTTTGACATATATATATATATATACACACTGCTCAAAAAAATAAAGGGAACACTTAAACAACACAATATAACTCCAAGTAAATCAAACTTCTGTGAAATCAAACTGTCCACTTAGGAAGCAACACTGATTGACAATCAATTTCACATGCTGTTGTGCAAATGGAATAGACAACAGGTGGAAATCATTGGCGATTAGCAAGACACACTCAATAAAGGAGTGGTTCTGCAGGTGGGGACCACAGACCACTTCTCAGTACCTATGCTTTCTGGCTGATGTTTTGGTCACTTTTGAATGTGGGTGGTGCTTTCACATTCGTGGTAGCATGAGACGGACTCTACAACCCACACAAGTGGCTCAGGTAGTGCAGCTCATCCAGGATGACACATCAGTGCGAGCTGTGGCAAGAAGGTTTGCTGTGTCTGTCAGCGTAGTGTCCAGAGCCTGGAGGCGCTACCAGGAGACCGGCCAGTACACCAGGAGACGTGGAGGAGGCCGTAGGAGGGCAACAACCCAGCAGCAGGACCGCTACCTCAGCCTTTGTGCAAGGAGGAACAGGAGGAGCACTGCCAGAGCCCTGCAAAATGATCTCCAGCAGGCCACAAATGTGCATGTGTCTGCACAAACGGTTAGAAACCGACTCCATGAGGATGGTATGAGGGCCCGACGTCCACAGATGGGGGTTGTGCTCACAGCCCAAGACCGTGCAGGACGCTTGGCATTTGCCAGAGAACACCAGGATTGGCAAATTCACCACTGGCGCCCTGTGCTCTTCACAGATGAAAGCAGGTTCACACTGAGCACATGTGACAGACGTGACAGAGTCTGGAGACGCTGTGGAGAGCGATCTGCTGCCTGCAACATCCTTCAGCATGACCGGTTTGGCAGTGGGTCAGTAATGGTGTGGGGTGGCATTTCTTTGGAGGGCCGCACAGCCCTCCATGTGCTCGCCAGAGGTAGCCTGACTGCCATTAGGTACTGAGATGAGATCCTCAGACCCCTTGTGAGACCATATGCTGGTGTGGTTGGCCCTGGGTTCCTCCTAATGCAGGACAATGCTAGACCTCATGTGGCTGGAGTGTTTTAGCAGTTCCTGCAAGATGAAGGCATTGAAGCTATGGACTGGCCCGCCCGTTCCCCAGACCTGAATCCGATTGAGCACGTCTGGGACATCATGTCTCGCTCCATCCACCAACGTCACGTTGCACCACAGACTGTCCAGGAGTTGGCGGATGCTTTAGTCCAGGTCTGGGAGGAGATCCCTCAGGAGACCATCCGCCACCTCATCAGGAGCATGCCCAGGCGTTGTAGGGAGGTCATACAGGCACGTGGAGGCCACACACAATACTGAGCCTCATTTTGTCTTGTTTTAAGGACATTACATCAAAGTTGGATCAGCCTGTAATGTGTTTTTCCACTTTAATTTTGTGTGTGACTCCAAATCCAGGCCTCCATTGGTTAATAAATTTGATTTCCATTGATGATTTTTGTGTGATTTTGTTGTCAGCACATTCAACTTTGTACAGAACAAAGTATTCAATGAGAATATTTCATTCATTCAGATCTAGGATGTGTTATTTGAGTGTTCCCTTTATTTTTTTGAGCAGTGTATATATATATATATACCAATATATATATATATAATATATAAAACAACACAAATGACATTACGGACAAAATAGAAGATTAAATAGAAAAAGAAAGATAGTCTTTAGAGTTGAAACTCTTACTTTTGTGTACTGGATTAGTTCACATGGATGTAGAATTTTTAACCTTGAATTACAGTCTTCACTGAAAAAAATATACTTAGCAAGTGAAACCATCTTTAATGTAGTCTAAATATCTAAATATCTAAAATTTCTCTTTTTGAGATGCATATTTATTAAAATAAGTTATCTGCCAATATAGTGAAATTTTTATTTAATAAAAATATCTAGATGTAAGTATCTTATAATTATCTTATAACATTCTTACAACCATCTCAGAATGAGAAATATTAAATATATCGACTAGATTAAAGATAATTCCACTTGCCAAGATATCAGTTTTTGCAGTGTTTAACCAAATATCTAGACATGGCTTTGTATACGTCTACAGTTCTCTGTAGTATTTTAGTATTTAGTATTTGTAAGTATTTCAATTATGGTTCATTCAGGCTGGTAAAGATGAAGAGACCTTAAAGAGAGACATGCTTCACTCACTGTGTGTATGTTTGTGTGTAGCGGATGCTATCCCCGGCGTGCTCCGCTGGCAGTCTCGCCTGTGGGGGCTGGTCACTAAGCTGAGTGAGGCTCGTCAGGGCGGAGAGACCCCCAACCCCTCTATCCTGAGCAAAAAAGAGCGCTCTGAGGCCAGGAGGATTTGGGAAAACAAGAATCATGCCATCACACAGGTGAGATGCCACAGCTGCAAATTATTGTTCATTTGCTCTCCTTTACCAGCTGGGGTCGCCACTGTGAGGATGAGATTCTGAATCTCTTTGTTTAGACTTCACAAAGGAGCTTTAAGTCTGAACCTTTCGGTTGCGTTAGTTGTCTGTTCTGACCTTTAACTACATACTCTTCTTCCTTATGCACTGAGTTCTGTTTGCTGTTGTATCAAAGTGATCTTTTCTGAAATACAAAGTTTTTTTTTGCTTGTTGATTATTTCTTGAATTTTGTTTGCATGTACAGACAATTAGCCAGTAACAGCTGATGATATACAGTATGATAAACATTAGCAGATGCCAGTTCAGCCTAGATTGTATCGTCTTGGATTGAGCCTTGTTCAGCCTTGCAGTCATAAGAGTCACAATTCTGTTAAGTGTAAGAATCTAACTCCAACACTATGTAAGATTTAGGGATTTGAAGACCTCTCCAGTGTAACTGACCCCCTGTAGTAACACATAACATGCAGAATTATGTTTTGTAGTGTCAGTTATGTTTCGGACCCCTTCCCTGAGTGGATGAATCTGATGATTGCAAGTGTGTTAAAAGAGTATAGACCTCAAAACTTGGTGAAGTGTCACTATTGAATTACTATTGCCATCATATTTTCGTCAGTATAATGTTGATTTAGCATTTGAGGCCGAATCGTCGAGCCTGATCTTCTCACTGAACTTGTGCATGTGATGTTAATACATAAAAAGACGCATGGTGTTGTCCGAAAAACTTAGTATTTCAGGCTTTACAGGCCGACTCACAGCAGCACATACACCATTTTTTCTCTCCTGACCCAGTAAAGCTACTTCTTTCAATTTTATCCAAAAAGAGTTCATAGTGCAGCTTTAAATTTAGAAGTAAACCAGAGCTAGATGATCAAAGTTTTAGCTAAGGTGTAAAATCATAACCACAGCTCTTTTTTCCAATTATAATTAAAAAATCCATACATTTTTATTAAAACATTCAAGGATTATCCAGTGCAGTCACAGTAATGGAATATATGATCACCCAGCCCAAGTCTAAAAGCAGTAAGTAACCTGATCGATCCTAATGCCACTGGGAACAACAGAGAGGGTGTGGAGAAGTGATGTTAAATGGAGCAGCCGATGCTTCAGCGCATTATATATAGCATTCTCCTGCATCTGGTAGCCAAGGCCGAGATCGATTCCTCCAGGGGCTCGGGCTGGTTAAGAGAATTGGCCTGTGGTAGATCCGGCCTAGACCCACTAAGCCACAGTGTCCCCTTGATCATCCGCCTGGAAAAGTTTCTTACCATGTCCTTTCTGCTGAAAGGCCAGTGTGGGCACCTGCTGCCCTGTTTAGCTGATGTAGGACCAGCATCCCCACCCCAAACTCTAATTTTAGCTAATGCAATGCCAGATGCCCTACTGCTCTCAGATCTTAGAACAAAATACCAGTGTCCAAAAAAAAACAGAAAAAACATCATGGCCCCTTTTGTTCTCCTCTGGATCACAGGAGGAATGTTCACATGCTCTGTGCCCTGTCATTAGCAAAAATAGCAGAAATATCTCTAGCAGGGGTGCATCAATAGGGGACAGTGGAATTATGTGTGCTATGCTCCCCGCCCAACAGCATATGTGCTCCATATGTTCAAATTTGCGTTCATTTTTTGTAAGAATGTCTTATTGTGTTATTGACAGAATGTCCATTTCAACTTCATACTTTGTATGAACGATATTTTGTACATACACAGATGAGCCAAAACATTGTGACCACTTGCCTAATATGCTGTTGTTCCTCCACACGTTGCCAAAATAGTTTCAGCACACTGAGGCGTGGACTCTACAAGGCCACTGAAGGTGCTCTGTGGTATCTGGCACATCTGGCACCAAGACGTTAGCAGCAGATCCTTCAAGTTCTGTAAGTTGTGAGGTGGAGCCACCGCAGCTGAGGCTTGTTGTTCCAGTATGTCCCTCAAATGCTCGATCAGACTAAGATGATTATTTTGGAGGCCAGGTCTACACCTTGTTCTTCGCTAACAATGTGTGCAGTATGGCAGGATGCATTATGCTGTAGAGGCCACTGCCATCAGGGCACACCATTACTATGAAAGGATGTACCTGGACCTCAACAATGTTTAAGTAGGTGGCACGTGTCAAACTGACATCTACATGAATGTCCGGACCCAGGGTTTCCCAGCAGAACGTTGCCCAGAGTATTGCACTTCCTCCACCGGCTTGTCTTCTTCTTCTAGTGCATCCTGGTGCCATCACTTCCCCAGTTATAAGTTGCAAATGTATCCAGTTGACCATATGTTGTAAAAGAAAACGTTACCCATCTGACCAGATGACCTTCTTTCCTAGCTCCCAGATCCAGTTCCGACACTCACGTGCCCATTGTAGTCTTCGCCGGTGGACAGGGGTTAGGGTGGGCACTCTGACTGGTCTCTGGCTACGCAGGCTCGTACGCAGCAGGGCGCGAGGAGACATTCCTCTCATGACCATTGTAAAAAAAATTCTGTGACTTGTGCTGCAGTGCCCTTTCTGTTGATTCGGAGATAACGGGATAGCTTTCACTGGCCTCACATATTGATGAGCCTTGGGCCTCAAACACCCGGCAGCAACAAGTCTTGGGATTTCAGAGATGCTCCGACCCAGTTATCTGGCCATAACGATTTCGCCCTTGTCAGAGTTGCTCAGGTCTTCACACCTGCCCATTCCTCCCACACACATATCGACTACGAGAACCGGCTGTTCACTTGCTGTGTAATATATCCCAGACCTTGGCACGCACCATTGTTATGAGATAATCAACATTATTTCTTCCATCTGTAAGTGGTCATGATGTTTTGGCCCATCAGTGTACATATACATGCACCTTAACTCCTGTGGTGAAGGAAGAATAACTGATCTTTCCAACCAAAGTGGGTTGGAAGAATAGCACCACAGGTAGATAATAACATGAACTGTGTTGGCTGATACTCATGTGCAGTATTTCATTATTAGGTCACCATTCACTTCACAGAAGACTTCCTGTTGAATGCAGCGATCTCCCGGTTGATGGGACTGACCAATACGCTCTCAGTGAGTCTGAACACTCACTCACCCATCTTATATAGTTCTCAACACTTGCTAAACACATTCAGGACTATTTAAACAGATATCAATGCTGATGTATAGTTTGTTTATTAGGAGTACATTGTTGCAAATGTTACATTCATACAGCAAAATCTGAATATTAAGAGGAGGATTATTTACCCATTTACACATTACTGGACATCTGGATTTTCCCCGGGTTATGTCTGTTTTTTAGGGGAGCTGAAGAAATGGTTTAGTGAAAATATTGCAGCAAATATATATGCCTGCGTGATGTTGTGCATGCAAAGGGGAGTTGGAATTCGGCATAACACCTGTTGTCTAAAATGCCTGACTGCAATGTTTTGCTACACTTTGAAGTTTTTGTTCATTTTTATAGTTCATAGTAAGTCTCACTGTGTCTTAAACTACAACAACAAGTCTTTGTGACCCTACAGGGGAATTCCACTGATTTGTCAAAAAATTCAGCATACTTCAATCATTGAGATGTAAACAATGGTTAAATATTAAAATAATAATAAAAATATTTACTATTAAAAAGGTTCTCTTTAGACACTTTTGCCTTACAACGTCCTGTATAAACATCTCTTCCACAATAGGATTTTAAAAATATATTTTAGGCGAAAAACTGCTCAAAACTATCGGAACACAATGTCTTAGACACCAGGCAATGTATTCATAACCTTTTCAAGTAATAATTTTCTGTGAGGGGAGCTTTTAGAGGTGGACGTCTGATTCCGGTTGATACCACTGTGAACAATTCTGACTCAGTACGTTTCTCTAGAACTGTGTGTTTCATGACTTTGAATGACTTTGTTTATATCTTTGCCACTTACGCAGAAATTATGATCTGAAAATCTATGAAATTCCCCTTTAATGAAGGGGTGGCTGTGGTTTGAGCAGGTAAAGTTTGTGCAATGTACAGAAAAAAAAATGGAGTTTGTTAGCAATGTTAGCCTCATAGCTCTAGCTTTAGACTAAAGAGGCAAAATTTGAACACCAAACATGGTTGGATGGTTGGCTACCTCTGGACTAAGTGCAACCTTGTGTAAATTAAATTTGTGATGAACAATTGCTTAAATTTCCAGCTCTACAACACTGATATTTATAACATTAGTAATTGTTAAGAAAAAGAGCATCAAGAAAAGTTAGTCACTTCAGTTTAAGGTCACTTCTCTGTCTGTTTTAGAACTCTTTTAGGTCTCACATTTTTGGTCTCTAATTGCACAAATTCGTTCAGTTCAGCTAGGCTATACATTTCTTTGTCATAATTCATTAACTGGTTCATTAACTGATCACCTGACCCTTTAGAACAATTACTACTACTACTGTTTACTGTTAATTACTATTTCTGTCTTTATTTTTTCGCAGCAAGCATCTCCCCGTGTGGTTCTGCACAGTGTGGAGTTTGAGCAGGCGCTGGCATCTCTCTGTGTGATGACTGCTCCCATGGCCCCTCACCTGGCCTCAGAGCTGTGGGCAGGTGAGTAGACATATAGAGGCATTTTTGTTTGTCTGGCACTAAAACTAGATATATGATATGAGAAATCAGAACCAGAATTGAAAGATTTTGAGCAGCACCCATCTCTGATCTGCAGCATGTTAGGCAGGACTGGTGAGTAGCCTTATATGCCTAAGAATGACCACTGTTAGGGCAATAATTAAGAAGAAGTCAACAAGAGCTTTAGTGGACACAAATGGATCACTCAGCAGGACAGTGATCCAGAACATACATGAAAAGGTTATGAAAAAAGGTTATTTTAGTTTTTTTTATTCTTAGACTAAATTTATTAAAGCTTAGATTTTTTCCCTTATAATTTTAATGTGATTGTTAATCAACCACAACGACAATTTTTATAAACTTTATTTATTTAAACATTTTTACCAAGGGTGCCAATAATTATAGAACTGTACCGTATATGTATTTCCATACATTCTCTTTGTTCTTCCACATCTTCACATGTAGCCCAGTGTAGCCCTTCAATTCCCACACTGTAGCGGTTGGCTCAACTAAACGTCAGCACAACTAAACATGAACATAAAAAGAAACATGAAGCATGCGTTTGGCACTGAGGCAGCTTGCTCCATTTAAAAGTGAAAATGTGCCATTTAAGAGTTAAAAGTAGTAGAAAACACCAGAAGAAACAGAGGAAGCCACTGTCCAGAACTCAATCACATCCAGCTATTGTCAAACACACCCACACCATTCAAACCTGCTGTGTGGACAGAAGACCTGAGCACCTCGCGGGAGAGATGAAGAATGGGCACATCCTCGTCTTCCAGCTGATAACCACATGACCACAATGAGGGATTGTAATGAGACGAAACAGGAAACGCGTGGGAGCTGTGTGTATTTGTGCATGTTATAGGGTTGCGTTGCAAAAATCACAAAACACGAGGGACACAGTGTGAGCAAGACCTCTCTGACATTCCAGCTCTGTCTTTCCCCCCAACATGCAGCCACATACACAAACACACTAACACAAAGGCCAGCGGAAACACACATCCTTCCTGGAGGCAAGTGGGGGTCAAGCAGAGATTGCTAATTTTAAAATAAAGTCCCAGGAGAGAGGTACATGCCAAAGGACCCCCCCGCCTCCTTTCTCTCTGTCTGTCTCTCTCTCTTCCCCCTCTCTCTCTGTTTCCCACTATCTTTTCTCACAGTGACAATATGTACACACGGATCAGCCACACCCCCCTGTGTCCACACTCATTGTCCATTTTATCAGCTCCACTTACTATATAGGAGCACTTTGTAGTTCTACGGTTACAGACTGTAGTCCATCTGTTTCTCTGATACTTTGTTAGACCCCTTTTACCCTGTTCTTCAGTGGTCAGGACCCCCATGGACCCTCACAGAGCAGGTACTGTTTGGGTGGTGGATCATTCTCAGCACTGCAGTAATACTGACGTGGTGGTGCTGTGTTAGTGTGTGTTGTGCTGGTACGAGTGGATCAGACACAGCAGTGCAGCTGGAGTTTTTAAACACTGTGTCCACTCACTGTCCACTCTATTAGACACTCCTAACTTGTTGGTCCAGTAAGTCAAACACAATAGCTCATCTGTTGCTTCACAGTTTGTGTTGGACATCCTCTAGTCCTTCATCAGTGGTCTTAGGATGCTGTTGGCTGGATATTTTTGGTTGTCTGATCCACTTGTACCAGCACAACACACACTAACACACCACCACCATGTCGATGCTGAGAATGTGTGAGAATTCTGTGGGCGTTTACAGTAGACTAAGTGAAAATGCTTCCTTTATATTATCAGCATAATTTAAATGAAAAGTAGAATCTTTTAATTATTTACATGAATTTCAACAGTTTGTTGACACCATAAAGTGTTTCCCTTTCTATTCTTCTGGAAAGGCTTAACACTCAGTGTAGGAACATTGCTGTGAGGATTTGATTGCGTTCAGCCACAAGAGCATTAGTGAGGTCAGGTACTGATGTTGGATGATGAGTTCTGGATCACAAACCCCACTCCAACTCATCCCAAAGGTATTGGATGGAGCTCCATCACTCCAGAGAACACAGTGGAACTGTTCCACTGTACCCCTCTAGACGACACTTGGAATTAGGCATGGTGATCTTAGGCTGCTCCAGAATGTCCCATTTTATTAGCAATGCTTTTCTATGGATATTATACAAGCAGTGTGCACAATTAAACCTGTGTCAGCAATGGGTGCAGCTTGAAGTGCCTGAATTCACTAATTAGAAGAGGTGTCTGGATTCTTTGCTATATAAATATTTCTCACACACACTCTGTGTCTCTCTCAGGGCTGTCTCAGGTGCAGAATCCTCTCTGTTCTTTACTCTTGGGGAACAGAGATGTGATGCAGCAGCCGTGGCCCACTGTGGACCCAGAGTACCTGCAGACCCCAGACACACTGGAGGTTTCCGTACGGGTGAGACACACACACACACACACACACAGCTATTTACTCTTCACATCACACAAATATTGATAGTCAGGGCAAAAATGGGGAAGGCACCTCTAACTGTAAAGCTAAATCACATGTGTGCATGTGTTTATATGATTTTATATATGAGTTTATATAGTTTTTATGATGATACATAAATCTACACACAGTTAGAGGAAATAATGATTTTATTTTTATAGCACAAAAAAGAAAATCTTAAAATCTTCCTACCTAAAGTAGGAAACCCTCCTTAAGAAATTTGCACTAATTTGTTATCTACATTTTACAGAACCTATTAATATATCTAATCATTTCTAGTCTTTCAAAAATTGTGATGTAATTAAAGTACAACACAAAAAAAATCAAATTGAGGCCTCAGTTTGTCTTAATGATTCCACTTTATTTCACTATGACAGTAAAATTGAAAGTCAGAATGTCAGTTTTGTTCATTATGTGGTTATTGTTATTGCTTTAATTAATTAATGAATTTAATTAATGCATTATTATAAGTAGTAGTGTCAGCCTGTGCCGGAAACAGAGTCCTCTCATTCGGGAAACTGTGTGGAAAGTAACCCTTACCCTTATATTTGAAGGAGTATTGTAGTTTCTGCCCTTTTACGGTAATATAGGTTGTTTTATAGATGCGATCCTCTCAGCCAGTCTTCTGTATGTCCTGTAATGCATGTGCCTTAAGGAGACGTGACAGGCAGGTTCCCCAGGCTGCTCAGTACGAATGATCTGCTGTCAGCAGCGCTCTGCTTCATCATCGCTGAGCTACTGAATGTCTCCATATTCACTCGGTAACTGAAGAGTGGGTGACTCTCCACAGAGGCTGCTGGCATGCAGGAAGTGAATGTGTCTCCTCCTAACGAGACCATGGCTTCTTATAGCATGTCTGTAATTAATCTGTGTATGTGTGTGTGTGGGTGGGTGAAGGGCTTGGCCTTTGGTTCACTGTGATGGGTGAACAGCAATTAGAGACTGAGTACCCTGGGAGATGGATGAGTGAATTCCTCCACGTAAGACTCAGTTTGAAGCTTGCAGACATATTGGTGTGTGTGTCTGTGTGTCTATATGTACCTGTGTGTGTGTAGCCTGGTTGCTTGCCAGGTCAGTGAAATCCTGTTGTGTGGGCTTGGTCAGTGAGTCAGCTGCACAAAGATCAAAGTTTCTCCCAGACTCTGTAGAAGAAATAAGAGATGAGCTTACACATGAGCCTCTTCCCATCGACTTGATTTAAGAACAGACCGTAACTTGGCTTTTAAAGGGCTCATATCGTGGGAAACTCTTTTAATGTTTAGAAAGTACCAGCCTAGTCCAAGTCCACAGCTGGAAAACGGCTCATTTTGAATTTGTCACGATTGTGATGTCACACCCATGAACACATTTGATGCCCATTCAACATACAGCAGTTTCACATCCTATACATACATCTAAATTGGCCGAGGTTTGTTGTTCTGAGCCAGTCAGAAAAAGGACAGTTGTTTCATTAGGCCAGTCAGACAAGTTTATTTACCTGTGTCCTAAAGACACAGTAACAAAAACAGCCTGGTTAATTCTAAAGCCTTGGTTACACTACATGACTTTTAAAGTCCTGGCAGATCTCACACTGTCCAGCTGGTTCCTGCAGATGTTTTGGGCGAATGAACTATTGGGGATCACACACTAAACGACTTGGGATCACACACTTGGGATCTCAACTTTTTAGTTGTTCAGCTCAGCGACTCATGCAAACTCACATGTTCTCCAGTTACTAGGAGATGCAAATAAACAGACGTGGAGCAGCGTGCTGCTATTACTGTTTGCGCTGATACAGCAAAGAAGCAACAGTTCCACTTATTTAAGTGAGGGTCATGGATGTAAAGTCTGGTAGTTTTTAGAGATTTAGACTCAGTTCATTAAAAAGCTTTGCTACACATGTGACACGTCTTCACTTGCTGTATTTTCTTCTTTCGCACACTTAGTTTTCATTGGCTGTTGGCAAAGTCCATTTGAACTGAGTCGCTGACCAGTAAACACTGCAAGATTACGCTCAGATGTTTGAGATCCTCTGACTGGTCTGAAACATGATTGGGAGGCCAAAATTCTGAGTCTGCACCCCTCACACACTAATTTATTTACTCTCCTAACTGTCAACTCAGAATGCCCCAAAATCTGCAGACTAGTGCCAACCAGTGCAGACTCAGCCAGACTGAGAATCAGGGCTAAAATCGAGCTAAAATTCATGTAGTGTAACCTCAGCTCAAGACAGGGCTGGCCAGAGTTGTCCCGTCAAGACGTTCAGTCAGAGTTCAAAACACATTTTGGACTTTCAACTAAAATTCTTTTGCTCTTAGTGACTCCGCCTTAATGATGTTTGTTTTATTAAATAAATGGTCGAACATTCCATTTTTTTCATTTGCATATACATGTAATTGAAAAATGATCCTGTTCAAATGAATTATGCTTATTTTTGACGCATAAAATCACACAAGTGTTGTAAGTGGACCCCAGGGAGAAAATAAAATTCACTAAAAATGTGCCTAAATATGTGACCTTTTTGGGAGGAGAAAGTCCACTTCAAATGAAAGGTTATGGCTATAAAAAAAAAGACCACCCACATGTAACTGAAAATATGATAAATTAAGCTGGAGTGTAGCACCCAGATCAGGCCACTCCACCCAGTGAAACTCAGATTTAGACATTATTCAGGAACTCACACATACTTCTCTCTCTCTCACTCACACACACACACACACACACACACACACACACACATGCACAATATCCTCTAACATCCTCTCTCACATTTTCAATCAGAATCCAAATGGAAGCATCAAGCAGTCAGCGAAACTGTAGCCAATTCTGTATTCTTCTTTTTAAAATCCATGGAGCCCTCCTGAGTGGTTGAGATTGTTTTTGCATGCCTGAAGGAGAACAAACCCTGCTCTGCAGTGACAGACAGCGCCTGCCTTTGATCTCTTCCCCATTACGTTAAGTGGATCGATTCTCTCTCTCTCAGTCACTGGTTTATATAAAGCAAAGAGTCTCAGTGAAGGATGTTTTCCCAGCACATTTTCTGTCATGTTGTTCCTGTCAAAGTGTTCTCCTTCAATATGCTCTGCCATGTTGGCACCTGTTGGGTGAGGTGAGCTGGCATCATGGGCTCATGGGTGTGTATGCCACTGTATTTTGGGAATCCCCTGCCTAGTGGCAGAGGTTGAAGAAGTTCAGGACCTATAATGACAGGGTTGAGTTTCTCCCACAGAGCAGGGCGGCTTCTGCGGCTGAATCTTACGTACACACACATGCGGCAGCAGACTTGATCGAAACTGAAGTGGTCACACACAGCCCTGCTCACACATAAATGATCTTGGCAGATGCAGTGGCCACCCTGTGAAGAATAGAGCCTGATTGTTTACCCGTCCCTCTTCAACCGCAAAGAGACTCGGCTGAGAATGTTTCTATTTTAAAGACTGGAGATGAGCTAATCCGGAGGATGAAGTGAAATTAGCTACTTAGTTGTTTGCCAAGTATAGATATAACAGGATATGTTGGCTGAATGAGTGGCTTTGAGCTCTGTGGGTTTTGGTCATGTTATCTTTCTGGGCTTTTTTGTTGAGCAGTAAAATGGTCTTCTGCTCACAAGTGTTTGATGCCGTGTTTCTGTAAATTGTCAAAGGAATAGTTGAAATTGTTGAAATACTTCTCCTTCTTATCCTGAATGTAGTCAGTCAGCCAAAACATGTTTTGTGCCCTTTGTGGAGAATCTGTAGCTTGTTAAACATGAATGAAAAAGTGACTGACTGACTGACCTATTGACTGTGTGACTTACTGACTTACAGTGTCTTAGTGAACGAGCGAGTGACTGACTGACTGACTTGCTGACTGACTGAGTGAATTAGTGACTGAGTGAGTTAGTGAGAGAGTGACTGACTGACTTAACTGAGTCACTGACTGACTGACTTGCTGACCAACTCTCTGATTCAGTGAATTAGTGAGTGATTTACTTACTAACGTGCTGACTGACCGAATTAGTGGGTGATTTACTGACTGACTTGCTAACTGACTGACTTGCTCCCTGACCAACTTGCTTACTAACTGACTTTCTTATTTACTTACTGACTGAATTATTGACTGACTGACTTATTGACTCACTTATCGACTCACATTGACTCACTTATTGACTTTTTAAGTGACTTGGTGACATAGAGTGACAGACTGATTTGCTGACTGACTTAATTACTTACTGACTGACTCACCAAATGACTTGCTTGCTTACTTACTTACTGCCCGACTGACTGCTGACTGACTGACTGACTGACTGACTTGCTTGCTGACCAACTTGCTTATTAACTAACTTTCTTATTTTTTTTTCACTTATTGACTGTCTAAGCGACTTAGTGACTTAAAGAGTGGCTGACTGATTTGCTGACCTGCTTAATTACTTACTGACTAACTTACCAACTGACCTGCTTAATTACTTACTGACTGACTTATTGTCTTACTCAAAAACTTAGTGATTTAATGAGTGACTGACTGACTGACTGATTTGCTGCCTTACTGACTTTCTGATTGATTAAGTGACTTACTGACTGACTGACTGACAGATTTGCTTACTTAACTACTGACATGCTTACTTACTGACCTCATTGACATCCCTGCTTACACTTGCTTGCCTACTTACTTACTCAGTTACTTACAAGCTAGATCCATGAGGTCCATTCACACCACAAACCAAAAAGCAGTATCATAGTACATGAATTTTGTCTGAACTTTAGTCTGTTTTTATAGATAACAGTCCAACAGTGTCAGAAACCACATAAAAAGTATATTTGAGATTATTTAACTCTGTTTTCCTACACTACTATTTTCATTCCAAAGCTCTCTTTTATCTTCCTTCCCTCAGATTAACAATAAAGTGTGCGGGAGTGTCACTGTGCCTCGACACGTGGCTCAGGATGCCGAGAAGGTGCGTGAGCTGGTCCTGGGCAGTCCACTGGGCATGCGTCTCCTCACTGACCGTGTCGTAAAGAAAGCCATCCTCTCTCCCAGGACTGCCCTCATAAACTTCTTGGTAGAAGAATGAACTGGAAAAGGCCAGTGTGCATCAGAATGGACAAATGCGCTGCCAAGTCAGAAGCTACAGGCAAATGAGAAGCTAAGGATGTTCCACTTGGACAGAAGAGTAAATTGAGATCGATGCAGCTCTCAGTTTGTAACAAAACCACAAAGATTGTGCATATAGACATTTTTATTTTTTACTTTTTTAATTTTCTCTTGTGAGGGCACTTTTGTCTGTTGGAAAAGACATTAAAAATTGAAAGTGAAATTGGCCTGTAAGTTTGCTGCTGAGTGAAAGGGATGTTTGTCAAAGATGATGATGAATTTTACATTTCCTGGCAGGCATTGTTGTTGTTTTTGTTTTTTTATTTTTTTCGCCCCCTTGACTCTCTCTATTGTTGCCTCAGCCTGTAACCCAAAAGCCTGGCAGCCGTGTTCCAGGCTATTTCTGTACAGAGGCTGATGATGAAGCACTTCTAATAGAGCTGCTTGTCCCTGATAAACAGGCTCTCCTCCTGCCTTCACAGGTCCTGTACTGAAGCAGTGGAGATTGCTGTCCTACCAGCTCTTGTAACTAAATGCAGGGCCTTGCAATAACCAGCAAGCTGTGCATGACTCATTCTCTCCTCTGTGGATCTGTATGTTCTATTTGGTAGGTCTAGACCAAGAGTGTGAGACTGCAGTCCTGGAGAGAGTTTAGCATTCTACATCATCAAACACAGCTGATTCAACTCAGCAGCTGGTTACAAAGATCTTTGAGTTGAAGTCTGAGTGTTGGAGGGAGAACTCTGCAGGGCTCTGACGCTCCAGGACTCAAGATTGACAAGCAGCTCTAGAGTAGGACTAACCAATATATTATCAGCCAAATGACCTGCATTTTTATCTGTATCAGTGAAAATCTTACTTATATCTCACCAAATTGCTGACTTTTTGGACGCAGCTTCCTTGTTGAACTATACAACAGAAATACAGAAAATGTAAATACAATAACTGGTAAATTTGAGCACAAAACATCTTCATAGAGAATCAAGAATTACGAGTAGCTCCACTCCCAGTGCTACAGTATCTAAATCGTTTAAGACTGTGGTTTCTGCTGTTTTTTTAAAGTGTAAAAATGTTGGTAAGTGAGGACTGACAGCCATATCTGTTAGTAAAGCTCTGATTAACTAAAATTTTGAAGTGTAACATTGAAATCTGAAAAATAGTTCAAAATGAAATTGGCTGATATTATCAGTTATCAGAATTTTTAGCTTTTAAAAATCAATATTGGCCACAAAATATTGGTCTAGCTCTACTCCTGACCAGTGGTTGTTCCCTCAACCCCTGCATAGCTTAATTTTTCTGCTTTAACACACGCAGTTAAGCTAAAGAAAGCATATTAAGCCTTAGAAGTCACGTCATTTTCACTTGTAAAAAATCATTATAAGTCAAAAGTGTGGATTCTAAACTTGAAGTGAATACTGCATTTCTGCTTGTAAGTTATGGAGAGGAATAATTGAAAAGCAGTCACTACAATGCAAAAACCTGAAATGCAACGCACACAACATTACTTTTCCGTAGTAAGACGCAGAATATGTGCCAAAATGAAAAACAACAAAACAAAACCGCTGTTACGTTGTTTTACATTAAGATTCGCATTTAAAGCATAAAATGCTGAATTTGTAAAGAATGACATTTTATTCCAGTGTATACAAGTTATATTGTGGAATAACAATAAATGGCTCTTGACTTGAGAATTTTACATAATCCACCTTCTAATGTACTGAAGGCACGGCCATATTGCTTTCCACCGTGCAGTACTGTAAACAGATTTGCCTTATTGAAATGCAATGAAATTTATTTAATATTGTTTGAATTACTGCACTGTGTAATTCAATATAGCTGTGCCTTCATTACATTTTAAGGAGGATTGTATTCAAATCCAATTCAGCACACACACACACACACACACACACACACACACACACACACATTTTCTAAACTGCTTGTCCTTTAGGGTCGCCGGGACTAATTCAGCATTTGTTTTTAAAATGCAAATCGTCATATTGTTTTTCAGTAAAGAGCTAATGTGACGTAAGAACAATGTAACAGAGGTTTTGTTTTTCATTTTGACACCTATTCTGCATGTCATTGTGAAAATGTAATGCCAGGTGTGCATTGCATTCCATGTTTCTCCACTGTAGTGTTTATTTTCAGTTTTGGCTTGAATTGCTCTCCATAGTAAGTTGCAGATGAGACATTTTGTTAGGATTTGAATTGTATGACTAAAATCGAATTGCATAACTGTAATTAGGTAATTACATAATTGCATATAAATACCTAAGTAAAATGAAAATTAGAAGTTGGCGTCTAAGGGTTAATTAGCTGTGGTGCTGAGTCAGGTGTGTGGGAGCTGGAAAGCGTTGAAATTTGTAGGACAATGGAATTTTTTCCCACCTTCTTTTAAAAAGTCAGCGGTAAAGATACCACATGAGAATACCCACCTGGCAGAAAGTGATAACTGAGTCACTCCATGAAAAGAGTGCCAGTCAACATTGCACAACATTTAAGGGCGTGTGTAAGAGACAAAAACCTGCTAAGAAGTTTCTCAAGCCTGTATGAGCTCAAAAGCTCATCATTAACATACTGTGTGGACATTTTTATAGCAAGTGAAGAAGGAATGGAAGTGAATATGGAAAAGGAATTATATACATAATTTAAAAAGATGGTTCTATAAAGGTTGTTTAGGAAATGGTTCTATATAGAACTATAAATACTTAAAGAACCCTTTGCATGATTAAATGGTTCTTTGCATTGTAAAAAGGTTCTTCAGACTGATGGAGAACGTGCTGTAGATAGTCCCATGTAAAACCTTTTTGAAAAGTGTTCTATATAACACCAGGTTCTACATAGAACTGTCTACAGTTTACACTTTACTTGAACCCCGCTACATGCCATGGCAGATGACTTTGTTTGACAGATGTTATTTAGCAACATGAGTGTCATGTTTCCACTGCTGCTCATGACAGCTTAATGTACTCTAGTTAGCCGTCATGTCATCAGACATTGTAAAATTGGTCTTAAAATTAGTGTTAATACTAACATGATGTTAAATTACTGGACATAATTAGTCTTGAGAGCTCATGACAGCATATGACCAGACATGTGTATGTCATGGTTATGTCAGTGTTATGCAGCAGAGCTACACTTTAGTAGTAAAATGTTACCAAATGTTCTACTGTAACAAATTATATGATAAAAAAAAAGCTGTAAATTTGGCCTTTAATTAGCATTGATCATTAGTTGTTTTCTCCATTCTTGACAGAGTCTGTTAAGTATGTAAGTAAGTCTGTTGTCAGTATTTCTACCTGGTCACACAAAATATATAGAGAAAATATTTTTTGTGCAATGTTCACAAAAAGGTCATGTAATTAACTGTCGTTAGAAGATCGAACTTTCATAAGGTCATGTCCTTAATTAATGCAAGGGAAGTTTATTATTTTGCAGTCTAAATGTGGGAGCAGCAGTGCATCCTTGGCCAGTGGGGGGGTTAGGTGTCTGGACCAGTCAGTTCTGGGATTTGAACCTGCAACCTTCTGGTTACTAGATCACCTTTCCTACCGATAGGCTTTGTCACAACTTCAGCATAATAGGTGTGTAGGTTTCAGTCTTCTTTGGCACAATGAAATGGAAATTTCACAGTGTGGGTTACTGAGGTGGGAAGACTTTTCCAGAGTGAACAATGAGTTTGATCCCCAGTGATGCTACAACCTTCTGTGGCTGGAAGTCGGAAGAGATTTTATTTATTTATTTGCTTTTTTCCCTACCTTGGGTGGGTGGGATTGCCCTCCCTCTCCACCCATCACTTAGCACAGTGCTAGCCAGCGTAGACATCTGTTAGCTGACATGCCAGAATTTGCAGTTAGTGTTCTCCAAGCACGTTGAGCTGTCCACTCACTCTGCATTAGTGGCAGTTTGAAAAGTTGCGGTGGTGATTCACATGTCTTGGAGGAAGCTTGCGCTAGCCTTCACCCTCCTAGCGCTGGTAGTATTGTCTCACCTAGCTAACAGGTGGAATTGGGCATGAACAAATGGGAGGAAATTACCAAAAAAAAGGAAAACAGTTGGTAAGAGAAATATATAATTGAACTGAAAAACTGATTCCTTGACATAAAAAAGGACTCAATGGCACAATGGAACGAATCAACTATTCTGGCTCAGTGTTGTTTATGTGCTCTGGCCTGGAATGCTTTTGTGTTGAAACTATCACTGTCCAACTTGATCTAAAGTAGCAAATCATTTGAAACTGCTATTCAACTTCAAAGCAGTTTTTCATGGCTCGCTGGGCGCATGGTCTGCTCTTACACAACAGCTGTTTGCGAATGCACTGATGTCTTTGGCTTTCAGATCAGCTGAGTTCCTGTTTGTGAGCTTTTCTGAAAGGCCATCAGCAGTTCTTTTCAGTGCTGGCAGCAGAGAGGCCACAGTCATCACATTGCAGGGGCAGTATGATTCAGTGTCGCTCTCCCAGCTGGCCCAGCCCAATGAGCACGAACAGCACTGGCGCCAGTGACAACTTGCCCCATGCAGCCACAGCTCTCGAGCTGTCTGACTTCACTGACAGCGTCGGAGAGTAATTCATTCGGCTCTTGTGCAGCACAAAGACGAACAGAAGCTGAGGAAAGACATAAAGCCCCTCTTTCATCTCAGAAGAGGAGCTAGGCCTCCTGGGTATTGAAGTCCAGGGGGCTTCAACATCTGACAGTGGGGCCATTGTCTGCATATGTTGCTTAACACAGCTAGACATCATTATCTGACCGCACATAACTTATTCTGAATATCAAATCTCCAGGCTCTGAAATCTATCCCTTCCTCTGTGTGGAATGGCAGCATTGTAGTGACTCACCAAGCTAATTCTGCTGAATAATAGCACTGAGAATGCTTTCACATACCTCACATGTGCTGACTTTCCTCATTAAGTACGCTCTCACAAGACCAGGAATCTCACATGGCCCGCATTGACTGTTCCCTCAACGTTACTTATTATATCTTTTCTTGTGATATGAATATATTTATGCCCTTCCTTTTGTGTTCTATCCTTTTCATTTCCTTCAGAGGAAGTGTTTTCATTCCCCTTTTCACCTTTTGCACTCACTAAATTCCCAGAAGCTCAAGGTTTTATTTTTG